GTTTGAGGGTTCAGGGTTTAGGGTGCTTAGGGACGGTGGCCGCCTTGCATCTTTCCCAGAGAGCCCAAGACCCGGTAGTGGAGGAATAGACCATAGACTGGGTTTAGGGTTTAGGGACTATAAGGAGCTTCATGTTATGATTGAAGCTGTATTCATTAAGTTCAGGGGTGTCGGGGGATCTCTGGCTTCAATCGAATCATCATTCGACAGCTGCTCCCTCGTGAAGCTCAAGGCTTAACACCTTTCAGAAAAGCTCATCTAAACCCTAAACCCTGATCCCTAAACCCTAAACCCCTAAACCCTAATCCCTAATCCCTAACCCCTTAAAACCCAAAACCCTAAACCTGCCTGGAACGCCCAAGGAACGATCTGTCGCGGTTCGAGGCCAGCCAGATCGTGATGGCCATAAAGATCCTGGGGCACACCGAAGTAAACCTGAAGGATCTTCGCAGTCGGTTTAGGGTTTAGGGTTTAGGATTTAAGGTTTAGGGTTTAGGGTTTAGGGTTTAGGGTTTAGGGGGATCCCTTAAGACATATTTGAGGGATCCTACAAGGGGGTCCTATAAGGGACATGGTATAAGGCTTTCGGTTTGCTCGTGAGCTCGGAGCTGCAAACCCTGAACCTAAATCCTTTCCTAAACCCTAAACCCTAAACCCTAAACCCTAAACCCTAAGCCCTAAACCCTAAACCCTAAACCCTAAACCCTAAACCCTAAACCCTAAACCCGAAGCTAAGGCCTCTTGCTCTTCTCCGTCTATGTTCCATACACCCCTCCATGAGACCCCATCGCAAGCATGGAAGGCCCCTGTTTGGCTTAACCTGCCATTGACACCACTACTGCCAGTACTACCACTACGGCTATGTCGCTGCTGCTGCTGCCACTGCCATTACTCGTATTACGACGAGGGACACGGCCAGGATTGCTATTTGCTGCGACTATCACACAGCAGCAGGCAGAAGAAACCCAGTTGTGACGGTTTCGGGTTGGGTGTGGAAGTTCTTGGCTCTATTTTCGGTATTGCGGCATCGAGGTCCTGCTTATCCGGCCTCGCCCTAAACCCTAAACCCCCAAACTTCCTACCGTAAACCCTTAAACCCTAAACCCTAGACGCCTAAACCCCTAAACCCCTAAACCCCTAAACCCCTGAACCCTAAACCCCTAAACCTTAACTCTGGTCAGTCCGACATGGGAGTTGAAAAGAAGGAAGGATCGTAGTTATAAGGATCCCCCCAGATCCGGTTCTCCCAACTTAAATACGGTTTGGGTTTAGGGCTTAGGGCTTGGGGGTAGCGAGTTTTAGACATAAGCTCCCGCTACCAAAGCCAGACCGACACAAGGAATATCCATCACGAGTGCCACAAAGCGGGCTCTCCAACTGTTGCCTTGTCTGTTCCTCCCAGCCGCTTGCATGCAACGAGCTTAGGGCTACTTTAGGGTTTCAACGTCAGTCTCTTGCATGAGACGAGGAATGCTGGGGGTTAGGAATAACTTGGCGCATTCGTGGCTTAGGTTTCGGACATCGGGAAGCTGGGGTGAGGTGCATGCCAGATGGTGTGTTTCGTTCTTTTGTTGGTTGAGGTTGATGGGGAAGGCCCAGTTCGATTTAGGGTTTAGGGTTTAGGGTTAGGGTTTGTGGCTCTGTCTTCCACTCCAGTAAGTCCCAGCACCAAAATAGTAACACATAGTAGAGTTTTTGGCCCTGCTGAGGCACTCAGATCCTTTGAATGAGTTGGATCACGATGAAAAGCTGTTTGAGCAGGGGGTTTGCTTGAGGAGCAGTCACAGTCAGATCAGTAGGAACTGATTTTTAGTCTTCGATGACTGTAATCCCCAAGAAACAGCTGAAAGTAGAATTCTTGCAACGGTACCAAGCAGTATAGTTCTGATTCGTCTAGAAAACAGTCGTAGTGGAGGAACACATCTGGAATTCTTTATCCGCGATTGAAGACGCAGACCTCACAATCCAAACCCGAACCTCCCTGCCAGCACCCTGCATCCTAAAAAAAACCAAAGCTGTGCTTAACCCTAAACCCTAAACTCCAAACCGAATCCCAGGCGGCGCGCTGCTGCGTTTCGAAGATTTGGTCGAATGCCGGCAGGACGTCAACGAAGAGCTTCAGGCTTCCCCGTGTAGGGTTTACATACTGCTGATGGACAAAATCCTGCGTGACCTTATATACCTCAACTATGGGATTTATGGTACTATACTATATTTGGGTCATGCAGGATTTTGTCCATCAACAGTAGGGGTTCAGGGTTTAGGGTTTCGGGCTTAGGGCCTAAATAATTACCTACACTCTTTTTTTGGATTTCTTTATTGTAGTTATAGTGTAATGTACCCCAAAACCCTATTCTAATTATTCAGGCCCCTCTATTAGGGTTAAAAAGGGCTAAGCAGCCTGAGGATTCATGATGAATCTGGTTAGGGATTTATGAGTTAGGGATTTGGGTTTTGGGATGTATCTACTTACTCTGAGGACCTTCTGGGTGAGGGTCTTAAGACCGTTTCCCAAAGGTGGTCCGTATATCTTCAACAGCGCGCCCCGGTTAAAACCTGAGTTTGCGGCCTCGGGGACAGAGGCCGTGGCCATAGGGTTTAGGGTTTAGGGCCCTAACACTGTCGACCGTTTAGCTGCAGGCCTATGCAAAGCAGCAGTCGATGGTGACCTACGTGGAGCTGCTCGGCCATCCATACGAATTTAGGTGTTAGAGTTAAGGGGTAGGGTTCAGGGTTCGGAAGCAAGATTATAGTCAAGATTTCAGGGTGCTTGGTTTTGAAAAGTAGTTGGAGGCTCTATATCCAAAACCCTAAACCCTAAACTCTATAGCCAGCCCTGGGTGTCTCAGCATACACTCGCACCAAAGCGAGCGGACATCCCGAGAATCCTTCCAAACTTCAGCTCCTACTCCCTATACCCTTAAGCCCTAAATCCTAAGCCCCAAACCCCTGAACCCCTATCCCTGAACACCAAAACCTAAACCCCAACAGCCGTTCTGTGAAGCCTTAAACCCTAAACCCGTGACGAGGACTGGCGACCTTCTCCCGTTCTCCAGGGACAGCGAGCATCTCATCTGTTAAGGGGGTTTAGGGTTTAGGGTTTAGGTTTGGGTTGCTTTAAGGGTTCCTTTAAGGATTCTTTGCAGAGTTGCTTGGAGAATTCCTTTAAGGATTTCCTGAAGAGTTGCTTTTAGTGGTTCCTTTAAGGATTCCTTGACGGGCTGCTTTAAGATCCTTTTATAGGGTTTAGGCATAGGTTAAAAGGAGCACTTTATGGAGCCCTGGAGTCCGAAAACGGAACCTTTAGAGGGGCAGATTCGGGCTGTGGACTTTTGGTGGTGAAGGGTTTAGGCTTTAGGGGTTTGGGGTTTAGGATTTAGGGGTTTAGGATTTAGGGGGTTTGGCGGTTTGGGCTTTAGGGCTTAGGGCTTAGGGGTTTAGGGTTTAGGGAATAACTCGATCTTCCAGTCTGTATGTGGTCTTAGGTTCCGTGTCAAAATACACAATTCCAGGAAGGTAGCCCTTTTGTTCCTAGGCTGCAGGGGATCCTAGGTAAGAGTTCAAACTGATGGGGATCCCAGGTACAGGTTTCACCGTCGCAGGCATGAATGGGTTTAGGGTTAAGGGTTTAGGGTTTAGGGTATAGGGTTTAAGGTTTAGGGTTTAGGGTTTACATTTAGGGTATAGGGTTTAGGGTATAGGGTTTAGGGTTTAGGGTATAGGGTATAGGGTTTAGGGTTTAGGGTTTAGGGTATAGGGTTTAGGGTTTAGGGTTTAGGGTTTGAGGGTTTTGGGACAGCCTCGTAGATCCTCGCACTCAGGGTCGATGTTGCGGTTTGGGGTTGAGGGTCTGTGAGCCCCTTGTCGTTTCTACGGCCAGGGGCTTCTACACTCTATAATAAGCTTTAAGGTTCAGGGTATGCAGGCTCTGAACCCTGTAAGCCCTAAACCCCACACCTACATGCAGGGTATAGGTATATAAGTTCTAAACTAAACCCTAAACCCCGAAACCTAAATATCTAGGGTATACCTGTGGCCCAAAAGACCTACCTTATTAAGGAAGTATACATACAAACCATGAGGAACCCTGAACAAGGTAGGTCTTTTCGGCTACAGGTAGGGTTCGAGGCAGCTGCATGAAGCTTCCAAGGCACTGGGAGCCCGATGGGCTGCACTTTTCCCGGCGCGGCTCGCAGGCTTTAGGCTTGCCTGGCGGTTTAGGGTTTAGGGCTTAAGGCTTCAAGGTTTAGGGTTTTAGGGTTTAGGGTTTATGGCTTAAGGCTTCAAGGTTTAGGGTTTTAGGGCTTAGGGGAGGTCTAACCGTATGATCTTAAGCCCTACAGTGTAAACCGGAAGCCCGTAGCCTTACAGCAAGTCTTCAGGCTCGGGGCTGGCCAGGAAGATACTTGCTTGGCGTTCTTCTGGTTGGCCCTTTAGACTTTAACTTTTTGGGTTTC